GTAATGCAATGGTAAATATTTTTGTATCTAAACATAGAAAACGTACAGTAAAAATATGGTATTATAATCTTATGGGGCAACCGTTTTATATGCGGTCTGTTTTGTTGATCAAACCGTCGTTACATGGTACATGGCTGTAATTTAAAATCCATTGATATATAAAGAGATGATAAGACTTCAAATTAAGTGTATGGCTTGAAGGCTGTGTATATCATCAAACGAGATATAACAGTAAAATAAGAAATTACCTAATGACTTCATACTGGTGAATGTTTCCCTTATCTCCAAACAAAGCAACTTTGGCCCGACCAGTGGCTGTTCTTCCAGACAATGTTATGGAAACCCCATATCTCCAGCCTGCACAGAGGATAAAAGAGTTCAATTTATTCACATGCAAAATAGGTGACCCAAATCCCAGACTTCTATCTCCTTCCCTTACCCTGAGGCATCAAAGTATAAGAAATTCTACTTATTAATCTATAATTCGAACTAGGCTTTAATGGGAAGTACATATTCAGCCATAGCCCCTTATAGACTTGTACTGCCCAGTAAGGGAGTCTCTTGCCCCACGTGGCTGCTTATATTTAAATCCAAATTAAACGAAATTAAACATTTAGTTTTTCAGGCATACTAGCTGCATTGCAAGTACGAAATTGCCACGGGAGGTGAATGGCTACTGTATTGGACAGCACAGAACATGTCCCTCATTGTAGGAAGTCTGTTGGACAGCTCTGCTCCAGACTTGTAGTACCAGGAGTTAGGGTGAAAAGAGAAGGAACGAGGGAAGGTGGCTCAGGAGTGCCATTGATGAGCACTTCAAGAGCAAGGGCTATGTCTTATTTCTGCAGTCCCAGGGCCTTGGACAGTCTCCAGCACAGAGTAGGCACATGGGCAGTTGTAACCTAGACTTCTACCTGGAGTGCTGTCCCAGTACCTGGATGCACACACACATATACCTGCAGAAAAATACATATACACATATATAAACCTACACACATATGACCACACACTCACATACACATAAATGCCCACATACAAACACACATACATAAACATGCATAT